TTCACACTGGCAGTAATTTAAAATGGTAGAGAACCTGAGCCAGCATGCCAACACACAGAGGAAAGCAAAAGCTCCCTTAGCACCCCCAGAAAAGTGAATACACATGTAAATTCTGCACACACACCGCCAGACAGTGAAAAGTGTGTGAACAACAGAGATTATCTTCTACAGGGCTGAAGCAGACAAGACCACAAAAAAACCAACCAACCAACTTTGAAAATATATCTTATCATTTATTTAACAGCAGTCTGTTAACTCCAAGTGAAAAAGATTTTCCAGTTTCTTTCATTTTAGCCATTCCAGAAGGAAACAAGGAGTTTGAATTATCTTCAACAAAACAAAATAGCTGATGTATCAACGTCATGGTCAATTTCATAATTTAAAAATTTATCATTTAGCATGCTTTCACTTTTCTGTACTGATGGCAATGAGATTCTTCCTTCCCAATTCCCCCTTGCTCCTCCTACAAACCTCTGTTTTTATGAAAAAATTGACATAAAGTTGAAGTTTGGAAAAAAAAATTTTTTTATATACACTTATATACTAGTTTGGTGAATCACACCAAAGTAGTCTATTATCCAGTCTAAAAAAAATTGGAAAAAAAAGTCACATAACTTGGTTTCATGATGAACATGGATCAAAGACAGAAGGAAGAAGAAAACTATTAGAAATCTGTTGTCTCAATGAAAGCAAGGATTTTTGAGTTGATTTTTTTCACGACGCAGTTCTTCCCCAGCTGACTAAATCCTGAGCCACTTAATTATTTGATCAATGAAAAACATGAATTCAATGAAAAATTTCCTTCTGAAGCTCGATGTGCCAGATATTCTTGTAATGTATGGACACACAGGAGCAACTCCCACAATACTCCAGTGTTGCCTCAGGCCCACTGTACACTTAGAATTGTTGTGAGGACAACCACATAGAAGGAATGAAGTGGTCCTAAAGGCAGACATAACTTACAATGACTAAACAACATTCTTGTTAATCTTAGTCCCCATCCTGAGTGAAGCTGCAAAAACAAAAGTGCTAGCATGCAAAAACAAAAGTGCTAGCTTGCAAAAACATCATCTGACACTTCTGTCAATACTCACAGATTGGTTTTCATTCCTGTGCCAACTTAATGAAGTTTGGTGCAATTGAAGTTTGCAACTTAAAAAGAAAAAAACACCCTATTTTCTTTATAATGAAAAACAGATCCCAAACTGCAGAGATCATGAATGTGTTTGTATCACATGAATACCTGGGTATCCCACTGGAGATGGAGAACACTTTGCAGTTAAATATAACAAACCAAAGAAGAACAGTGCTGTTAAAAATCTGGTAGAAAATACATGCCCTGTTCCTCCCAGTTCGTAAGGTATGTTGCAGCATCACTCTTTCACCAATTCACCTGCAGCTACCTTTTCGAAGGATTTATGCTACAAACACAAGCTGGTAAGTTTTTTCCTGTGGAGTTTTTCCTTTATGCCAATGACACTTTGTGGAGAAATTCTGAATTGCATTTAGTAGAAAAGCTAAAACTTGTTTGTCTGCTCAACTCCACATCAGCTACTCGCCCTGAAAACAATCAGACTACTCACGTACAAAGCAAAGGTTTTGCGTAATCTTTCCTAAGTGAGGGCCTAAGAAGGCAAAGTTAGACAGGTTGCTCATAGAGCCCACATGCATGAATACGTACTTTGTGCTCCCTGGGTAACATACAGTAGCCTCATTAAAAAGAAGAGGAAAAGAAAATAATTATAAACCACATAGAGAACAGGCTTTAATTGTTTTCAGACATTAGGAAAACAATATTCTTGTAGATCACTTACCGCGTTTTACTCTATAGTTAAAAATATTTCATGAAATTCAAAGGTTTTATGTATACCTATGTACATACATAAAATACCTTTTTAAGTATTTCTCTTTAGTACCTCGGAATGCAGAAGTAACCTGTCACAACAATCAGAGCTAAAAAGAAAAAACAAATGTAATACAAGTTCCTGCTCTAGCTTGAAGCCAATGGCAGAATCCATAGTGACTTTGAAAGATACAAAATAAATCCATGAAAACTTCACGAAAGCATCAAGCATTAGCATAATTATAATTTCACTGATTTTTTTTTTAATGGGGAAAGAAAACCCTTTCAAGCTTTAGAAGTTCAAAGACCACTGCTCCCTCTTAAACATAACTTGGGAAAAGTGAGGGTGAAGTGGTGATGGAAGGTTTCCCTCCCAGTTTAATTCAGCAAAGATTAGCTGAACAAAACTACAAAGAACTGCTTTTGAAATTTCCACTGTGTGCAACATTCTTCAACAAGATACCTCACACAAATATAGAAGATGGCAGCAGAACTCTGGGAAACATAATTTATTAATTAAAAGGTACAGAAAATACAGAAGGGAAAATCAAGCAGAATTACTGTGCACATAATGTTTTGCTTCCCATTTTGAATTCCTAGTGAATGGGTTGTGAATTCCATCAAGTATTTAAAAACTCAAAATCCTTTACTGATTTGTAACATTCTAAAGATACCAGGCCTAATAATGACTTTGTCCTTTACTAATCTGAAGCTTTAACAGCATGACAATTAACAGTTCAGTGCTTCAAAATCAGGCAGGCACTTGATATTATTTTTTAAAAAAATAGGATGAAACAGAAAAACAAAACTGCCTGCTGAAATACAAGAGGAATAGGTTTGGGTTCTTTATAAATATGCATTGGTATATGATAAAATATTTCCTGGGTCCTAAGCTGAGACATATTATGTCATCCACCCTTCATCTAAAACTGGTTTCTGTGACTCCACTGCCCACCTGTAAGTTTGCAATACTTACTTGTCTTCATGGTACCAAACACTGCAGTTGCTTTTATACTTTTATTGACTGGTTTCAAAATTCAAGCACAAAAATACTGCAAAATAGCACTGACATAAAAATCTTGTAAAGTGTAAATCTGCATTGAAAACTCTATTAAAAAAAATAATCTTACATTCACCAGTCACTAACTTCATCACCTGGGATTCCTGAATGTAAACCTGTTCCAGGTAATAATGTGGGATTCCATAAGAATCTGTCCCCACTGGTGTGAGTGCAGAAGTGGGCTCCCAGTTTCCTTCTACACAGTGTGTTTTTACCAGAAGAACTCCTTCATGAAACTCCAGCCTTAAAATTGAGATTTCATTCCTTACATACACAAAAGTATCAATAAAGTAACATTTTTAAGCATTTTAATAAACACGGGTGTAAGATACTCAGGTGCAGAAAGTGACAACACCTCCCTGTCATCAGCTGGGAACTCCACGTGTTACATCAGCGAGATACCAGATACCTTTTGCAAAAGAGGAATTACATAATGCACATTACAGTCACCCTACCTGTAGCTCCAAAGAAACACACACACAGAGCGAACGAAGAGATTTCTGGGGTTTTTCTAAATTAAATAGCTTCACTGCTAACAGCTGGAAAACAGTCTTTTAAGAAGGTGAACATATAGATGGCAGTTTTATAACTCAATCCAAGAATACCCAGGAGCCTCTCCATGTAAGAGCAACCACTGCAAATGGACAAAGCTTAAAAAACCCTATGGACTGAAAAGTAAATATTAAAAAGATATATTCAAATATTATCCGATACCCTTCCAAGATGCTTTTGGCTCTGCCCGCTATTTCAAATGCAGGTATCCTCCACTTTTTTGCTTACTTGGCCTTAGAAAAACAACACAAAAACAAGCAATATTAAGAAGCAATATACTGAATAGATTAACCAGGCTCCTGAACACATCATTTTTATTTAGAGAAAGACTTTATTCTGGCAGTAAGATTCAAGAGCCTGAAGTTAAATTACAACCCTCTTCTGCAGGGAGGAGGAAAGGTAACAAACCACTTTTAAGGGCATATTCCTCCTTTCCATACAAACACGTTGTTGTTTGGAATGGGGTGTGAGGAGTTTTACCGTCATCACAACAGTCACAGGCTGAGGCAACCACGAAGTGAGTGTTGATGCTGGAATGGAAACACCTCTGTTCATTGCTAATCTGTAGTACCAGCAAGTGATTCACTACAAACACTGTGACAAATCATGAGGAGTGATGAGTTTTGTGTCCTCCCTGGCATTCACCTCTTCCAAGTGAGCTGCCTCACAGCTGTCCCAGGGCCTGGGTGGTCACAGAGGGTACAAACGAGCAAAAGGGGTGAAAAGGCTTTTTTTCTTTTTATTAATTAAAACCCGAAACTCTCCAAGTTGAAGAAGACATTTTGTTCACGCACCTTGAGAGAAAAGGGCACATGTTCCCCATTTCTGACAAATAAAAAGAAGAAGGAAGGCAAGAGCGGAGGCTTCGGAGGGTGGGCTTCACACCCACCACCCTGGAGACCTCCCCACAAAGAACAAGCAGCACGGCAACGAGGAGAGAGAAGAAAAGCAGCGAGAGGCCACGGCTGTGAGGCGGCGGCGGCTTGAAAATTTTACCTGGAAATCAGCCAGTATCATCTCCCGGTCCATGTTGGACGCCATTGCAGCCAGCTGCGTCCCGGCTCTGCTCGGACCCGCGCACCTGGAGCCGCTGCCGGCGGGGAGGACGGGGCAGGGCGGCAGCTCAGGAGCTCATGGAGGCGCCGCGCTCCGCTCGGGCTCCCGCGGCGCCCCCGGCTGCCCCTCCCGGGGCGGAGGAGGGCGGCAGAGGAGGGGAGAGCGGCGGGCCGGGCGCGGGGCCGGGAGCGGGCAGCGCTGCCTCAGCCGCGGGGCCGGGGAGGAGGAGGAGGAGGAGGAGGAGGCTGAGGAGGAGGAGGAGGAGGCAGCGCCGCTCCCCGCCTGCCTCCACAGCGCCTGTGTCGCACATTTTGCCTGTCATTGAGGTCGCAAAGAGGCGCTTTGCGGCCGGCACGTGATCGCCCGCCTGTCAAGCGCTGCGAGAGGAGCGGGGGCGGGACCGGCACGGCGGGACCGGGAACGGGGGGCACGGCGGGGCCGCGCCCGGGGAGCGCAGCGGAGCGCCCCGGCCCGCGCTGCCCAGCGGAGGTGCCGCCGGTCCGCCCGCGCCGGGCCGAGCGAGCCGGCACAGCCCCCGCCCCGCTGGTCGGCGGCTCCCCGGGCCCGGCGGCGGCGCGGGGTGTCCCGGCTGGGCTCCGCCGCCAAGTGCGGCCTAAGCAGGTCGGCGGGGACCTGGCTGCGGCCATCCCCGGGCGGGGCGGGGAAACAAGGGCCGGAGGGCGGCCTTGCCTCCCCATCCATCCGTCCGTCCATCCCTTCCTGCAACCATCCATCCGTCTGTCCGTCCATCCCTCCCTCGCTCCATCCATCCGCGGTGCCGTCGGTGAATGCAGCGATTCGGTCCCCGTCCCCCCTGACAGCCCGCACCGTTGTGCCCACCGAGTGACCCGGCCCCCGGGCGGGGGGCGCGCACAGGGCCGGGGCTGGGTACAGCGGTGGTTTCCCCCCCGCCGCGTTCCCACTGGTCTCAAAAAGAAGGAAGTGCGTTTTTCCACAGGTTTCTGAGCCAACGGACCCGTGATCTGCACAGCGGCCCTCGCTCAGGCATAGCACTCCAGCATTGTAAGCTGCAATTCTATTATATACCGCAAATAAATATGCTTTAAGTGACGCAAATCTAACTGTAATTAATGCTAAGTCTGCCTTCTACAACCTGATGAAGTTCGCTTACCCCCCTACTGACATTAAGCACGCATTTGGACGCCAATTTGCTAATTAGTCCAACATGTTTTGCTGTGCTTTTTGTAGGAGTGTCCTGTGAGTGTCGCAACTATCTGAGGTCACGGAGGCATCAAGAAGCTTTCCTATCAGCTAATAAAGCCACACGATGATACCTTTGAATCAAGATAGTTCGCCGGCTTTAGGGAACACCGTTCTTTATTGGGTTTTTGTAGGGTTACAGGCGAGTTTCCCCGCAGCCTGCGAGCTCCCTGCCGCCGCAGCCGGACTGGCTCCGGGCAGAGCTGCGGGGGGAGCCCGGCGCGACCGCCCACGGGGCTCGTCGGGGGGAGCGACCGCGGACGCACGCTTGAGCGCGGACAGGGCGGGATGAAAAGTTAATCTGTACCTTCAGGAGAGTCCGTGTTGCCAAGGGAAAACCCTGGGAATCGCTCAGAGCCTGCCTGCGGGCGCTGCTGGGGAGCGCGGGCTCCAGGGCTGCGCGTCTGGCGGCGGCGTTGCGGGTCCCCGGGCGGGCGGGCGGACGCCACACTGAAAACGCCACTTGCGATGCAAAGCCACGGTGTCAGAGGAGCTGGGGTCTTTATTTTATCGTGTTGCTGGTCTAGTTTATGTTGGCAGGGCTTGCCAAGAGGGTTTTATTGCCCGCTGACGTTAGCTTTACAATTCGAGCTCCCCACAGCCGACCGGAGGGATGATAAATTAATTTGCCCTCACACCTGCACTTTTTTTTTTTCCCCCAGTTCGATGTTACAGACAGTTCTGTAATAAGTACAGGGTATGGTGCAATGCCAGAGAAGCCTATGCTAAACTACAAACAAATCCACCCACACATTACTAGAGAGTAACTACAATAAAGGCTGAAAAGCGAGTTTTAGCAACTGGAGTAAGTCCAATTCATTCCTGGCACGAACTGAAGCTATAGGTATGTTGTCAAGATTAGTTACACGACGTTCACGTCTATTACAGTCCTATTTTAAATAATGATATCTATATTAGATCAAAACAGGAAGGATTTGATCCAGAACGTTAAGAGAAGGTAAAAACCTGCACATGCCCCACGTCGCAGGAAGTTCACGTTCAAGTCACAGCGAAAGTTTCTATTCGCCTTCTCACCTTCTCACAACCCCTCTCTCCGAGCCACTCAAGCTGTGTTTTGTTCTTCAACGAGTGTTAGACAAATTAGGGAGCTTATCTTACTCGTTGTAATGCTCGCCGATAAGATCTCCCACCAGAAGGTGTTTTTTTCTGATGATTCTGCATCCGACTGGGACAATTCTTTTTGTTTTAGGGGGAGTATCTTTGTCATTCATGAGACAAAACGAAACGATCAGGACTAACGAGTTACTTTCTGCAAAGACGTTTGAGAGACCCCCACGGTAGAAGAGGCTTGAAGGCGTTTTCTGGCCGAACAGCTTTGCTTGCAGGAGGCCTGCAGCACTCCAGCTACACTTTACTTATTTTTGCTATGTGGTGTGATTAACAGAAGATGGGAGCTTTACTCTGAACTGTAAACCAACAAAAAATAATATGAGATTGTTGCAAGACTTGCAGGTCTAATTTTCAGTAATTTAGGAACACGTAAAACCACCACAGCCTGGGGATTTCAGGTAGTGATTAGTCACAAAATAAAGTCACTTAGAAGCCATCTGAGTGAATAATCGAAGTTTTGCATATAAATTCCTTCCTTATGCAGAAAAGCAACTATATTTGAATAAATAAATTATATTTGAGTATATATATTTCTAGAGCTAACTGAGAGAAATTATAATTCATATTTTTGCTTACAAAACTGTAAAGAAAAAAGAAGGAAAAGCGCTGTTACTTCAGGACGAGAATTATCACAGTGAGGCCTTTAAAAATACACGGGCCTTTAACGGGAGTGCAAGTGGGGGCTTGGTTGATAAAACTGAACAAAGCTGCTTTCCCTGCTCCGTGTGTAGGCAGCTCACACTTGTCACCTCTGTATATTCACAAACAAGCGTGGGTGGGGGGAATCAGTACAGAAAAAATTTAATTGCGAGACAAAAAGCAACTGACGCTGAGAGGAGAGCCAGATGCAGAAGTCATACTGCCTTCGCTCAGCTGTAGGTCCGTCCCTGCAGAACCGGCTCTATCTGACGGCGCTGGCCCCGACTCTGGCCCCGGCCACCTCCGGCCCCTGCCCGGCTGCCAGCGGCAGGTTCCCCCCGCAGGGCAGTGCTGGAGGAGATGTGACTGCCACAGGTTCCCTCCCTAACGCACCTCCCCGAGCTGCCTCACGCCTGTTTACATTCAAAATCATTTTCCCGTGGCGTCCACGCAGAAAACAGACGTGCAGACTGCGACCGATGGGTTACGTGTGCTTATCAGGGAGCCATGACATTGCAGCTTACCTCTCGGAGGGTTCGCCTGGCAGAATTCAGTCCTCCGAGGGTCCCTGAAACCTAAAGCAATCCGGCCATCAAAGCACTTTAAGACACTAAATACTGTTAGGCAGAGTGGCGGTGACATCCCCGTACTGTACCATCCTCGCTTCTTCGCCCCGGGGAAGGAAAAGCGAAGCCCTCGCGTCTCCTCGGCGCCCCGGCGCGTTTTTCCCCTCAAAATGGCACTTTCAAATCAATCAAGGACACCAGAAACGCGGGAAGCAGGGAGTGCCGCCGTGCACGGTCGCCTTTCCACCGTTAAGACAACTTGACATTGACCCTTCATCCTTGACCTTGTCCTCGGGGAGCGGAGCCCGCGCCGCCGCCGGGGCGGCCCCGAGCGCGGAGCCGCTGCCCCGCGGGCGCCGAGTGAGGGCGGTGGGTCCAGGACCGAGACCGGGATCGGAGCCGGCTCCGCTCCCGCCGCGGGCAGGTGGAGCCCGCCGTGGAGAAGCGCCGCGGCGGAGGCCGCCCTGCCGCCCGCCGAGCTCCCCCGATCCCGGTCCTCCCGCCGGGGCGCGGCGGCTGCCGGCGCTAAAACCTCCTTTTCCTTTCATTTCCCCCACCCCACTAGGCCTCGGCAGCGCTCCTGCTAAAAGCAGCGGGGCCGCGGTGGCTGTGGCGGGGCAGCGCCGAGCCGGGGCTGCGCGGCGAGGGGACGGCACCGGGCGCCGCGGGGCTGAGGCGGCGGGGCCGGGCGAGGGGCGGGCGGGAGCCGCTGCAGGCCTTCCTGCCCGAACTCCGCCGCGCCTCCTTAAATCTGTGCCGTTAAAATGTGGGCGGGTGTTTCAACTCAAAAAGCGCTCAAATTTTTTTTCTTTTCAAAAAAAGCTGATGAGGTTAAAAAAAAAAAGGGGGGGGTAGAGGGGAAAAAAAAAAAAAAAAAAAAGAGGAGAGAGAAACCGGCTTCGTGTCCTTAGGAAACAGAAGTAGCGATTGTTTGTGCTTAAAAAAGGGGGAACGCAAAGCCGCGGGCGGAGGCGGCGGCCGCGGGACCGGCAAGTGCAGCTTTATTTCGCGAAGTTGGAAGAGGAGGCGAGCGGGGCTGTCACTGCGGCTGCGAGCGCGGCCGGGCCGGGGCAGCGGCGGCACCAGCGCGGCCCCTGCCCCCGCCCGGAGCTCCGGGAGGAGCGGCCGCCGCCCGGGAGCGCCCGGCGGAGCGCGGACAGCGGCGGCGGGACCCCGGCGGAGCCCGGCGGACACACAGCCCCGCGCCGCGGCTCCTGCGCGCCCCGAGCGCGGGCGGCGGTTCGCGGCAGCCCCGCGCCGCCCGCCGCTCTCCTGGATGCTCCGGAGCCGCCGCCGCCGGGGGCGGCCGCCGGCCGGGATCGCGCCCGCCCGCTGCGCGGAGGCTGCGCGGGGCCGCGGGAGTGAAGCTGCTGCTGCTGCTGCTGCTGCTGCTGCTGCTGCTGCGGGGAGCGAGAGCACCGAGGGAGCGAGCTGGGCGGCGGGACAGCCGCTGCCGCCGCGCCCGGCCCTCCGCGGGCGCGGCTCGTCCTTCCCTTCCCTGCTGGGCCCGGACTAAGGCGACGGAGTGGGATGAAGGGGGGATCCCGAGCGGGAGTTGGATGCACACTGCTACAGGAGACCTTTCCTCGGAGCTGCTGCTGCTAAGTCTCAGATCCCGACTGTGAACAGGGTGGGTTGTCTTCTTCTTCCAAGATCTCAGGTCTGAGTGAGTCTCCGGTGTACGTGTATATATATTACCTATAACATATACAGTATATTGCAGAGCTGTTAATCTATTTACCCCCCGCGAAAGTGGCCAAAGTTTTTAATAAGAGTTACTCTATATGTGGAAGCAAAGAAATCTTCCTTCAAGTGGAGCTGCAGTTTTGCTGAATAATCACGTGTGAGTTAGGGGCGGGGTCTTGGCAAGGAGGTTTTTTACTAGTATTTACTACAAGGTCTACTCCAGAAGATTAACCATCCCAATCCTTCTGTCAGTCTCCGATGCCATGCCTGGTTAAAAAAAAAAAAAAATCTCATCTTTTTTCCGATCGTCAGTCACCCTAAAGAATGGCCGAGCCTTCTGGGAACGAGCTGGCGTCCGCGGCTGCCAAGGGGGACCTAGTGCAACTTACTAATTTGTTGCAAAAGAATGTAAACGTCAATGCACAAAATGGATTTGGGAGGACTGCGCTGCAGGTTGGTATCCAGAGAGGGAGAAAATATTTCATCACTGGTACCTACGTGACCCGGGTTTCCAAAAAAGACAACGTTTTAAGCAGGCTGGTGGATGAAATTCGAGTGGTTTTTCAAACTCGTTGGATGCCATATTTTATAACTTTAGTGGCTCCAACTCCCTAAAATGACGTACTTGAAATAAAACTGGTCAAAACCATTCTTTCAATCGGGGATCGCCCTCAATGTCAAACGGGCTACGAGTTTGCTAATATTTTGTGACTTCGTGGGGAGGAGGCAAGGAATGAGAGATCTGAGATGAAAAGAAATCAGCTTAGGTGAGCAGGATTTCGTAGCAGGTCTGTAAACACAAATGTGCTGTTCTCTGAAGCTTAGGATTTATCTCATTTTTTCTTCCTTTCTTTTTTTTTTTTTTCTGCAATGTGCTTTTAAAGTGTGGCTTGTCTGGGTTCTGGGGTCTGCTGTGGATGGTACTTTTCCTTTATACACTGTTTGTGAGGAATGACCTTTCTCATTGGGAAGCATGCTGCTCAGAACCGAGGACCTCCGATGTACATTAAGAGTTAGCCCTACGAGTTAGGGTTCCAGCTAAATCACTTGCTTTTTCATTCATAATTAAGTCTTTAAAATTTGCTTTTTTTGATCGGCTAGCAGAGCACTGCTTCCAGTTATTTACTTTCTGATCGTATAGGGTGCTATGTCCTAATTTTTAATTGTGTAGCTGTGCAGGCAGGAGTTGGAACTCATCCAACTGCAAACTATTGGAGCTGATTAAAGATTTTGCTCTTAATATTATCAGATAATGATGGCGAAAGGGCTAGAATACCTACCAAATAGTGAAAGATGTGATTTATAAATCCGGAGGGAAAAATAAGTGTGGTTATTTGTACTAAAGGTGTAAGTAATGAAGTGTAGAAGTGGAGCTATAGGTCTTTTTAATTTCACACATTAGTAAAATCGTTTGTTAACCCCTCTCCCCCTTCCCCCCAAACCATGATAATAATTTCTGAAATTGGATTTTTAAACAGCATAAAATCTGCTAATGTACTCAAGATATTTACAGCTTTTTGGCTTAACATCAAAATGTTAGAGCTGGAAAATAAGCAACTCTTCCTAAAAAACACAGGAATTACCCTTTTTTGACAATTTCACCGAAGCTGGAGATCTGTGAGCTCCTCGCTGTCCTGTTAGCACCTAAATAGGGCATCGCATGGCAGTGCAGGCACTTGCAGCAACTTTTTAAGAGAGTGAAAGGGTTTAAATTAAAAACTTAGGCAAACTAACTTCTGTAAGAAATCAGGAAACATTTAGCTAGTCGATTTATCCTCGGGATGAGGGCTGAAAACCGATTTGTCCTGCAGTAATGTTGGGCATTTTTTCCCTAAAAGCAGCTAACTGTCCGTATCCTGAATTAAGGCATATTTTACACAATGACATAGCATCCAGCTGTATTAAACATGCATCCGTGTCCTAACGACACTTCTTATGGGTGCCTAATCATAACTGAGTTAATGAACCACAACAAAAATCAAAACAGGAGAATCTGTCGACTTATTTTCAATATGTATCATCCCGAAATGTGCTGTGGGTGCGTGGCCATGCTCGAAAGACTCCTCTGTCAGTGCAGTCTGCAAAACTGAAATAATCTCTCTGTAATCTCTCTCTCTATTACAACGGAGAGACTGCTCCTATATTAATGTCAATGCTTTTATAATTTTCCTCTGCATTTATGTTTAATTAAACAACTACTCAGCTTGTCTTGCTCTGTCCTTTTTATTTCTGGTGAAGTGTACCTATGCAGGCCTCAAACACCTCTCCTGCCCTTATGCTTTTCGTCAGACTTATTCCATTAGTGCTTTCTCCTTCTTTGCCTCTCTCCCCCCAAGTGAAACTTTGCAAAATAAAGGGCATTTGCTGTTCAGTTGTAGCCCACATCCAAAATGATCACCTTTTTATATGATTTTCTCCCCCTCGCATCTTTAGCTGAAGCCTTCAGTCCCCCTAGCCTGAACACAGAAAACTCCCACTTAAACCAAATATATGTTTTCAATTCACAAATAATACAGCCTGGGCTCTCAAAAAGAGATCAAAATGTCCAGATTTTACTAAACAAAGAGAGATCACAATGCTCTTGTTTTCTTTTACATTGCTTCCATCTCTCGTCAGAAGTGAAAGAAGTGGCTGGAAGCCTTGGGGCACAGAGAGATCTCTTTCCCTGAATCCCAGCCTGTCTTATCTGCACTTTTGCTCCTGTCTGTGGTTATAATATACTGGGCTGCTTTACAGTCCAAATATTGTATATAATTATATTTATTATAGCTCGTTTTCCTTAAAAAGACTTAATGTATATTTTTCACCAGGGGAGTTTTTCAGCAAATCCCCTGTAGGAATTGTACTTTATGTTAAATATAATGCACTGTAATGCTCGTTTATGCTGATTTTTTTTTTAATCGAGATTTTCTAATCAGTGTGTGAACCTCTCTAAGGAAATAAAAGAGGTTTGAGGGTTGGTTTTTTTCGAATTTGACATTAACAGTGAGACTAGCTACAAGGACAGGAAAATATTGCCTATAGGCTGGAGATTATACATTATGGTGTTCATTTTTGGAAAGTCTTTGTGCAAACAAAAAATGAGGAATTGAGGGGAAATCGGTGTAAGCTGTTAAACTCCAAATAAGAGAGACTTGCATTCTAATTATGATAGTTTTATAGTGCAATTGAGAAAATTGAAAGAAGCTTTTTTTTTTCCCTGTGAGAAACAGAAAATCCAATTATTGTTGTTGTTGGAATTTTTTTAAGGGATGTTTTTAACAACAGAAAATAGCCACAGTTTACTTATAGAGAGGTTATGAAAGTATAATATAATATACTGATTTTAGAAGAAAACTTCTGGAACTTTGAAACATTCCTTTTGACTTTTCCTTTTTGGGTGACATAATGAAACACAAATATTGGGGAGAAAAATTTCTTCTAGCATTCGTGTTTCTTAACAGACAGAGCTATGGTACAGTGCAAATATTTGTTTTATGATAATGCACAGACAGTGTAAACACCTGAAAGCTTATAAAAACACATTCTACATTTGCTGTTGCTGAGGTGAAATATCTGTTCCTCAGAGACCCTGTATTTGCTGTTTAACGAGGTTGAACAGTACTGCAGAGATGTCTCAATGCTTAGGCAAATAAAATCAAATTATACTTAATTTTTGTAAGTTAAGAAACTGAGTTAACCCTCACTAGAAAAAAAAAAAAAAAAGAAGTTGTTATATCCCCATTCTATGCTGTTTCAGACATTTATCTCTCTGAGACAGAAAGCTGTGACCATCGAAGTGATAACATCTTTCTCAATTTCACCGAGTTCAGTAACAAATACATTACAATTAGATGTTCTGGTGCGTCATTAATTTTATAGCGGGGTTCTTCTGTCTGCTTTAAATGAGAATTGAGCTCTGACAAAAGGCAGGCATAAGAAGTGAGGATGTGAGGCAGTGCTGCAGCAAACCCCCCACCCCGCGGTATCCAACTCTCCTCTTTCTTTCATAGGTGATGAAACTCGGGAACCCCGAAATCGCCCGGCGGCTGCTCAGTAAGGGGGCGAACCCCAACCTGAAAGACAGTACTGGCTTCGCTATCATCCACGACGTAGCCAGGGAGGGGTTTCTGGACACTTTGCAGACTCTGCTGGAGTTCAAAGCCGATGTTAACATTGAGGATAACGAGGGCAACCTGCCCTTGCACTTGGCGGCCCAGGAGGGGCACGTGCGGGTGGTGGAGCTGCTGCTGGCGCGCTCCGAGTGCAAGGTGGGCCACCAGAACAAGCAGGGGGCCACCGCCTACGACCTGGCCAAGCTGTACCGGAGAGCAGCCGTGGTGGAGCTCCTGGAGGCCAGCAGCTCCTTCCCTGCCAACATGGACTGAACCCCGCTAGGATGGGGTCTCCTTTGGACGTGAGGGCGTGCCGACTTCTTGGGGTGTTTCCCTCCTTTTTCGTTGCCACATTACTTCTATTTTATTTTTTTTTCTCTGAACAGCTGGTAGTGTAAGTCTCAAGAAACTCCAGAAGTGGGTTTATAGATAACAGAACCGTTTTAAATCCATGCTCCCAGCAGTTTCTTACACCTTTCACTTTACTCAGTACTCACAGTCTCATTCGTGTGTATGTTGGTTGTTCATATCTAGTTTTCCAGTATCAAGTTTTACAATTTATTTTAGGTCATTCCTATGAAGTCATTAATCCAAGAGCTACTATTCACATGCTTAATGTTGCTGGACTTTTGAGAAGAGTAAATAGTTTACTGTGATTTCTCCCACCTCTCAATGCACCCCTCCCTTCTCTTCCCCACCCCCCTTCGGTCAGGCTCAAGAGTCTGAAGTCTTGCTTTGGATTAAAACATCCTTTTAAGGGGTCACCTGCAACCCCTGCACAAGCAGAGCTGGAAATGAAAGGTTGCTTGACCTGAGGACAATGGATGGCATTTAGATGCTTTAAGGCAATAACTGTATTTTGTCACTAACAAGAGCTTGTAGAAGTAGGTCACTTACTTTCTAAATGTAGATGACACTTTTCCTCTTTGTGTATTTAAACTTTCACCAATCTGGTTTTGAATTTAGTTATCAGAAACAGTATAAGTGGTGTTTCTGTGATTGCCAGAGGTTTTAAACAGCTCAGTTTAGTAGTTCATGTTTACTGTGCACTGCACAAGACGTTTTTTTCTAGTTTCAAAATAGGCAGCAGAGAAACATTGTCAGAGGCAAGAAGACATGAAGGCTGCAATACAAGATTTCTGGTCACTTCATGTGCTGAGTGCAGTTTACATGTTCTTTCAGTAATATTTGCTTTCCACCAGCTATTCTGTTTTGTCTGTAAATAAACTATTTTAATGACAGATGCATCTCACAAAACAAGAATATTTGCATACAGTGACATTTAGGAAGCAGCACTTTTGATGTTTGTGAAGTTAAGTTATTGCTTGCACCTAAAACACGATTTAACCATTGAAAATTTTCCATTGCAATACAGTTGAGAGTATTCACCACGCTGAAACTCATTTGCCTCTCCAGCCTCAACGTATTGGGAAGTCTATTATGAAACTTTTAACATTTGTACAGGATCTACTTGTTGGACACATGGGCAGTTTAAAGTACTTTATTTTGAATAGTCTAAAATGTAATTGCACAAAATAGAAGGTTTTTAATCAATACAAAATGAATACTACTTTAAATAGCACTTAAAAGAGCAGAGGGAGTACCTTAGTTTAGTTTTCAACTTAAAAAAATTAGCCCCACGAAATCAGTTACTACATTTTCAAGTAAAAATTAATTTGCTGAAACTGTCTGTCACATTTATTATAAGCTCTGTTACACTGCTGTGTTTTCTGATTAAAAACCTCTGTGGAATATGAAGTTTTGTGCTCTTTTATTATAATTTTTGTTCACAAGGAACCTAGAGATCGTTAATCGGAGCAGCACGGTGTGTAGGAAGCGTGCTTAGGGAAATAACTCCCAAAGTTCCCAGTCTAAAGAGCACTAAACCAACTGAAATATTAAACCGAGCAACGTAATCCACAGGTCCCCGAGGTGAAGTGACCCAAATCGCTCTGTGTTGCTCTCTGTCTTCCTTTCCTCACGTCCTGGAGGACTCTCCAAGCCTTTTTCTTCTCCATTCCTCTCCCAAAGCGAAATTCCGTGCTTCCACCAGCATTTCTCCCCTTCACTGCCACAGCAGAGGTGAACGCCAAAAGGTAATATCCCAACCTTCTCGCTTTTTTTTTTCTTTTCACCTGTGCTTGCTAAAAAAGCTTATCCCACACCCGTTTTGAGCTTCGCCGGCATTTAATTTACGCTAAAGCGAAGTTTAAGCAGTGGCTTAATAAAGTAACTGCTTTATCGAGAAATATGCCCCGCCTAGTCAGAAATAGCGGCTTTTATTGCATGCCAGGAGTCCACGGCTGAAGCCAGGACGAGTCACCCCCCGGCCATGCCCGGAGCCTCGGCGGCTGAGTCACGGGCGATAGTCTGGTTTAAAGGTGCGCCTTATCTGCTTTTACTGCTGCGCTCTCTCCGTGAGCCCCTCCAGTTTATCGGAAATAAGATTATAAATTGAAATTCCTCGTTAGATACTTTGAAAGCAAAAATTACTGTTATCCCAGGAAGTTAATAGTTTCTACCAAGAGCCTCTGGGAAAGCGAAGAAGTACATCAGCTGGCGAGTTACACTCACAGGGTTTGGAAGTGACAAAATGTGCCTGGCTGCTGGGGGATGGCTTTCCTCCAGAAGGTTTTGTATTTGCAGAGCGAGGAGAAAATAATATAAAGCAAGCCTCACTAATAGGGAACCTTGACACCGAAAAAGGATTGTAATATCGGGTGTAGTTTAAGAAATTACTTTTGTGTTTTTTTTTCCTAGTAGTCTGGCAACATCAAAAAGTCCAGTTTCACAAATTCGCATATTTGTGAGAATGTCGACAATATTATTTACCCCGAGATGCAAAACTGCAGCGTGTGAGATGGAATTAAAGATTTTTGAGAGCATTTACTGAGACATAAACCAACTGCAAAGTAAGTCTCTAGGCAGGAGCAGAGATCGCCCTGCAGCAGCCCTGGAATCGGCAATAAACAGTGTAGTATCGAGATGAGAGGTATAAATAGAAACAAACACAGCAAGCACAGAAAAATGTGAAGAAATAGAGCATAAAATGTAGCTGTACCAGGATTCACAGTGACCAGGCTGCATGAGGACACAACTGTGGGGCAAGAGCCCTCTCCCCTATTTCGGTTACACGGATGAGCAAAGCTGTTACACTTGACCTTTGTTTCTAAATTGTCCTCGGCACAACGGCGGGGGCTGCTGAATTCCTTTTAGAAAGGGCCAGATCCTAAAGGAATCCTACAGGGAACGAAGAGAGTTCTATCTCCGGCAGAAGCACCGTGGGAGGGTGAAATACCCGGTCTGTGGGTGCTGGGGAGAGAGGGGAGAGGTGCAGGGCTGACCCAGGCACTGTCATGCCCTTACCCAGGGGAGAGTAAATGAGAAGGTATTTGAAGGTGAAATCTGCTCAATCTCCAGGGCAATAAGCGACTGCACATTTAAGTACAGGAAAATAGTTTCTTTCCAGCTTACAGTGTGGGGATAAGAATGGAATCAGTGCTTTATTCCATGGTGGGGTAAGATATTAGCTCCGTAGGAAGTGCCATTGCATTGTTCACATGAAGAAAGAGTTAACACAGTAGAAAACTACCACTTTTTAGTTTTTTACAAAAAGAAGAGGGTCTCTTCCACAAATGTACCTGGGAATTCGCTGGGCAGCCAGAAGCAGCCAGACATTATTATCTCCTGACTAGAGGGCTGAAATTCCCTCGAAAAAAAAAAGCGAGGGTAGGAAAGCTTCTGCGTTTACTTGCGGAGACTGTTATAGTGTGCATGGCGGGGGTTGAGGGGGGGGGGCTGGGAAGAAAACCAGGAGAGAGAAGGACAGCGAGAGAAAGAAAGATTTCTCACCGGGTCTCAGCACAGCCTGCCCCACCACACACATGCATTCAAAATGTCGGTGCTCCCGGAGGGCTCTGCCGGGGTCCCCGGGGAGGAGGGAGGGTCGTGCGGGCGGAGGTGCGGGCAGGTCGGGCGGCCCCCCGGGCTCGGGGCCGCGGGGCGGGGGGGGCCGCGCCGGGCTCCGAAACCGTTAGTTTGGCTCCTGCGGCTCCGCTCCCCTTGCTCTTCCTGTCCAAATAATTTTAAATTTACGCGCCTTAAATAACAGTCTGATTTTATTTATTTAGTTTCCTCCGCGGGCTCCGCCGCCGCTCCGCTTCGCCCCGGCCCCCGCCGCCAGGCCCGGGGCGGCCGCGCAGCGCTGCGGGGCTGCGGGGAGCCCGGACACCCCCGCGCCTCCCGCCCGCCGCAACTTGCACTGCGCCTTTTTTTTTCTTTTTTTTTCCCTCCTTCTTCTTCTTTTTTTTTTTTTAATCCTCTTTTCTTTTTTTCCCTCCCTTTTCCTCCCTCCCTCTCCCCGCAGTCGGGACTGGAGTCTCCTCAGGATAACCTCGGTGCCTTCGCAGCCGCAGTGAGTACAGAGAAGGGACCCACATCTTGCCGGGGGGATGTTTCTGACACATCTTTGCGGCCGCTGCCGGGCGGCGGCGGCGGCGGGGCTCCCGCTGCAGCGCCGGGCTCTCCTCCCCCAGCACCGCGTCCAGGGATGCAGAAGCATCTTCTCCCAGGGCAGCCCATGCAGGAGGCAAAACCAAGCAGGTTTGTCCCCAGGTTTCCTTAAAAAAAATGGGTGGCGAGGTATCCCCAAGCCGGAGCTTTTCATGACCTTGTGTTACCATCTGAAAATCAGACGGGCGAAAGAGGGGGGAGGAAGAATCCACGCTGCTTGGTTTCTGTGTCACAGAGGCGAGGAAATTATCTTCGGATGTAAAGTACACGGCACATTTCTGAGAGCCAGATGTGTCAAGCTTTGCTCTGCAGCCCTAATTTACAGAGCCTCACTCGAAAAAAAAAAATAATTCACTTCTGCCATGGCTCTGAGTGGTAAAATGGCTTCTGCGTTTTGAAGAAGCACTAAGTACAAATCACCAGGGACATTATACAGTGCCAAAGGTTCCTGCTTGTCATTTTGTACTTTCCCCTCGTTAGAATTACCTTTCAGCACAGTATCGGTTGTAATTGTGCGAAGTTCAGCTTAAGGATCTAGGAGGAAGAGAACTCTCCTATGTTGGATACTTCAGAATAACCTTGACCTTTCATTAGTGCTTATCCTAAAAGATAAGTCATGCAGGGAAAGCAGGGAATTGGGCAAGGCACCTGCAAAAGCACAAATGAAATGGCTCTATTTTTAAACTAGTGTTAAAATGGCTTCTGAATCTGACTAAATAAGGGGGTCTGAAGGGCTAAAAAACAAAATCTAGAGCTCAGGGGCAAAATTCAGTTTGACACACACAGGACCTCGAGCTCATTTCCTCATCCCCAGATGGATTTTGTGCCGTTAGTGCAACCAGTGCTGCTGAGACTCACACTGCCAGAGAGGGTAAATTCCCTCTGAAAGAAACTGAATCAGCCAAAAGTATAATCAGCTTTTCAGGGAAGTACAAGACCACTGAACCATGTTTCCAGTTGCATTTCTTTGTTCCTCTGTAACTGTTTTCTGATATTTGTAGCTGTAATTATGGGGGCCGCCAGCATTTTTGAGTATTTTAAATTTCAGAAGCCTAATTCCGGGTAGGAAGCTTGAAACATTTTCTTCACAGTGTAGCCACTAAAAGGTTAAAGTCAATTCACAGCTCCTGGTGACAGTTTTCCTTCAGCAGATAGTGCCTATCAAGATGGTCTTTCTTTCTCCTGTTACACCCTGAGAGCAGGAAACGGGGCAGCATTTATATTGCAACACAGCCCTCTTCACTCCTCAGCATTAAGATTATTACCAGCACAATGATATTTTAATGAACACTTTTAAACATGGAGCTAATGAACATTTAAAGGAAAAGACACTCACGCAACACAAACCACAATAAAATGCGATGTCCTGTAGAAACACTGAGCATTCAAAAGCTTTTCAGGATTTGACCTTAATGGAACACAAGAGCAATCCTGGGTACAGCTCACATTTATATGCAGAGTATACTGCAAGGCCAAAAGAAGCAGGGCTTCTGCTAAAGTTAATTGTAATTTTCTGGTGAGGGAGGATCGAATGTTCAGGCCTGAAGTTATTAACATCTATTCTGATGGAAATAGGGACATTTGGATACACTTTGTCAAACCAAAAAGAGTGCTTTCTGCTTCAGATATGTTGCCCCAGAGGTGATGTACCACCATTTGAAAATCTGCACTTCCAAATCAGACATGCCAGGATGGGAGTGTATTGATCGGTCAGGAACTTTTGCTTGTATCTAATAATGCTGGAGAACAGGCAGAGAAGATTTTCAGTCCACATTAACTGGAATATGCACAGGCCTGGAAATGGAGCTGTTACTTGTAAATACTTCCTACAGAACGGATTTTTTTTAAATTTTCTGAAAGGAGAAGTACACCCTGCTAGAAAAAGCAGTTTTCTCTCTGTACATACCAGTAGTCCTTGAGGGTGTGACTGTAGGTATACAAACAAAGCTGTATTTAATCTCTCTAAGGGAATTTTATAGAGAACATCTGTTACAAGAGAAAAGTATATTTGTTTCATGAGCACTGCAGCATTTAATAATATCACTTCCTTGCACCAACATATATACTTTAAATAGTGTGATGCCTGTGGATTTTTCAGATGTAATTTCTTTTAGCTCCTGTAAAATAAGGGCTGCAGACAAAGAGCTGTGGTACACTGTGATACAGTCACAGTGTTCACAATCCAGCACTGTATGCATGTATTGGAGTGAACAACAATTTCCTTCCTGTACGAGCATTTTAATTTATGGAAACATACTGTTTTGTGTAAAGAAGGTAGTAGATAATTAACAGTATTCATTTAATCTAATTATAGGCCTCTGAGGCAAAAAGCTGACACTTTTCATTGTGGTATATTCAGAGAAGTTAATTGAAACAACATTGCAGCCACAAGGCATAACATGCCCATCATATATTTGATACTAATTCTTTTCTCAAAAATGGGATGAATCTGATGCTAGAGATAAGGATTGCTGTTACTCACTCGAGTAAGGAAAGTCTGGGGAACCTCATTATGCAATGCTGAGTGCACTGCAATATCTCTGTAATTCCAGAGCTAACCACAGACAACTTAATTTGCCAAATTGCGAGACGGTTTTGTAATGTACACAAGTATCTATTACAAATTAAGAAAAGATTGAACACATTTTTAGCTGGGACGGAGGTCAGAATTTGAAGACAGATCTGCCTGAAGAAGCAATAGGTCAATGGATAAACTTTTAGCTCTGTTTAATCTTTAGGAGGTACCAAGTAATAACAGCAGCCTTACCCCTAGGAGTTGTTATTAGGAATGTAATTTGTGGTTTTAAGCTATCAGTATGACAAACAGATACATAGACAGCAAATCAACACTTGCAGCTCCTTAACATATATATATATAAAAGTATGCCAGATCATGTGCAGTTTCAGAGTAATTTTTCCTATCACCTGATACACACCAACAACTCAATCTTCTGGCAGCAGTGCTACTTTCATTCTCAAAAGGAAAGTAAAGCAGCTCAGCTCTGCAAAGCTTGCCTTCAGCTGACAGAGAACGTGACAGACCAAACATGCTGGTTGTGGGGAAGCATTTGTCATTTGTATTAAAAAAAAATTGGATTTTCTTATAAATGGCAGATGCTTGCAAGCTGAATCACCATGCTAGGGGCAAATTTCAGTGTTTACCCCTGCTTTGCCACTGGAGGAGTGTAACTGGTGTCTCTGCAGCTCCAGCAGTACCAGGGGGCAGGAGATCTCCCACCCCCCCAGCTCCTGCTCAGTGACCTCCAGCTCTGCTCTGCCCATGGGCAGCAGAGCCCACCCAGCACACCCACTGTCCAGGTGGCATTCCTAGGTGGTGGGAGAGAAAATTGCCAAGGCAGTGCTGCTCACCCCTGTGATGAAGGCAGCCTAATTACTGTGGGGATGGTACAAGCCCTCTTAGGTGACAAACACCCACGCTGAAAAGGCCACTGAGCCCAACATGGGGCCTTGCTTTGCTCTGCCAGGGACAGACATTGCTGGCAGCCCTACCTATAATTTCAAAATTACTTGTAGTGTTTACAAATGTATTTTGCAGAGATACTTTTTACTGTGGTTAAAAGAGCAGCATATTGTACTTTAGGCACTTTAATGTTTGTTAATAAAATCAGAGAGAGGAAGTCTGAAAAATAAACAGATAATGACATTCGGTCACCTTAACTCTGGGGCTCTGGCTCAAGAGATCCAGAATATTTTATAAAGAAGATCTCTAACAAGAAAAAAAGAAAGTGTGGCTATTGATGCTAGTCATACCTGATGTCCTATTCCTATACCATTTGAGATAAATCACAATTAGCATTGATGTCTGACTTAAAAAATCAGCCTCTTCTCAGAGTCCAGTCTGCACTCACACTTCTTCTCTCCCTTGATGCTCTCAAGTAACTTTCCTTCTGCCTGGCTCCTGCCTTCTCCTTCTCCTTTGTGCTGTTTCCAGGTAACTCCCAGCATTTTCTCTTCCACACTTTGTTTATACATCTCGCCAGTCTCTGGCTCCTGCTTTCTTACACACTTCATACTCTATTTCCACCTCCTAGTTTCCTTTCCTTTATCTGCAGATTATTTTCTTTTCCTTCATCTGCACCCTCTTATTTTTTCTTAATTATTTCCTCTGGTATCTTATTTCTATCTCTGTTATGCTTATTAACCTCCTTACCCAATAAACCATACCCTTTCCCATTGCCTAGCAGAATCTCTTTGTGTTAATATGTATAATCTTCTTTTTTCCCCCTAGTCATGCAGAACTGCTTCCACAACTGATTTCTGTCCATGATGCCTTAGGAGAATTCCTAGCACTAGTCAGTAATAGTTGTCTCCCTGGAATCTACTGCCTTCATCTCTTCCTTCTTCCTCGCTTTGTGCTCGCTCTCATGCTCTGCTCCCCGAAAAAGCAGCTCATGGTGCCTGCAGGCCCCACAGCCAAGGAACACACAGCGGGATCCGTCAGCACGGGATGGTCTTTGGAAAATTTAGCTGCCAAAAGTGAACAATTCTTAACTGATCATGCACACACTGAAATTTTATGGAGTCTTATAACTTATGGAGTCTTATAACTTTTTTGCATTTGGATGCACATCTGTGAAACCACAGCGACGGTGCTGCCAAATTCCAAGTTGCTGCTTAAAAGGTACATGGGTGAAACTAGACCAGTGATGGTGTTCCATTTCAAATTCCTTCTGTAATGGGGATACCGACACTTCTGAATGAAGCAACCAGATGATTATTTTTTAATACGGGCAAAATATTTTTTTAACCTTGTTCTTGAGAATTACTACAGCGGTTTAGCTAGCAACTGCCAAAAATTAAACCTGAGGCAGATGCTTGGCTTGGAGAATACCAGCCCAAACGGTGACAAGCAACCGAAAACAAGATGTTATTATGAAGCACTGGACAAGATTAAACAGAGCAGTTCCATGACTTTGGCCTAAATGTGGAAGACTTCTAAGTGACCTGTAATGAATTTCTTACTAAAAACTTTGTTGAAATAAGTAGAATATAGTCAGATTTCACATTTTTGCATGAAGATATTTCCTCTGAAAATAAAAGTTAAAATAAAGGAAAATAAATCCAGAGTGCTCTGATGTGAAGAGGGAGAGGGAGGACTGTGCTTGATTGAGAATTGGAGCACCGGGACTGAGGGCTGGACCAGTTTCTTTGGCAACAAAAAAACTTGAAAGATCTACAGAAGTGCAGAAATAAATGATCCAAAAGGATTCTGTGAAGATGAAACTTTATGGAGACAGGAGAGGGAAGGGAGGAAGGGAATTGCTTCCGGTGGGAGAATCAAAGCAACAGAAAGGGAAGTCCAAATATTTAGTTAGCTTTGGGGTGCTTAAATGCCCTGACTCTTGCTCTGCATGTGCTGATGGACTGAACCCCCAGAGCAGAGCAGGTACCCTTGTCCCCACACCCCCGTTAGTGCAGTTTACCATCACAAGCCTCAGGGAGAGCACAAGCTAACAGCCTCCAAAAGTGCTCCCCATCTCTCACAGGTGACTGTTTGCCTTTGTACACCAAACTGAGCACTAAGACAGCTCAGGAGCTGCTCCAGATGTTGGAACCTCCGTTCTGTGGCACCAGCGAGGGATGTTGGAGGGGCAGGCAGGGCAGCTGAGGGCATTACCTGTGTCAGTCATCTGACTGACACGCTCTGCTGCCTCCCTGCCAGAGCCTTCCAGAGCAGGTTCACAGCCAGAGTTACAGCAATTACCACCCAGTGCTATTTGGCACTGAAAATTGTCATCCCGTTTCTCTGCTGTGGATGGAATTAAGAGAGTCACAGAAACTTTCTAATATACAATGAAATGTCTGTTGATTTCCAAGTACAAACATTTTTTGCCTGTAAAATTAATACTTTTAAATACTTCTAGCAGATTTAGTGTGTTGTCTGTCACTTGACTGTGGGTTTACCCAAAAGATATGTTCTAGTTCAAAAAGAAATTAGTTCAGGAAGTTCCCGTGGCCTTTGTTTTGCAGGAGGTCAGAGGAGGTGAAAATGGTGGCCCCTCTGGCCACCTCATCTCATCTCTATCAGTCTGTTTGTCCAGGATTTTAACAGCAAAGCTACACTAATGCTGTAAACTTTCTGTGCAGTTAAAATATTCTGAAATGTCTTGCACAGACTGTGTTTGAAGAAATTTGGTTGCATTTAAGCAAAAGGCTTCATATTAATGGTCATGGTTATACAAATTATAGTCAAAATGGTGACCTGTGATAACGCTGGAGAACAGTATGAAATTTAAAATACTCTAATTAAAAAAAATTCATAAACAGAAAGTTCAAAATTTTTGCTAGGTGCTGTTGCTTGGCATACAAGTTCTTTTGATTTTCTTAAATGAGTATGTGTTTAATATGTTTAGATTTTCTTTGGGGGTTTAATATGAAGCCTGAGCTGGCAGTGCTTAGTTCTTGGACCACTGCAGCACTTACACAACATATCTTACTCTTTATGCTCAGCACCTTCTTCCATCCTATACAGTTTCACCTTTTTTCTTTTTTTTATTAAGGAGATAAAAATGAGGTTTAAGGATAGCAGAAAAATTGGCCTGACAACACAATCTAATGAACCACAAAGCAGCTTTCAAAGAGAAAAAGTAGCAGGAAGTCCTTTCATACCGGGTATTAAAAATAGATTGCACCAAGTCCTGGAATGCACACGGCAGTTATGTAATGATTTTTCAGTGACATGCATTAGGAAATATTCTCAGTACATGTTTTTCCTTCCTAACACCCAGTTTACTTTTCTGAAGCTTGGAAATTCCTCATATGGATGCTTCTAAGAAGTCTAAAATTATAATGTTCGTTTGAATAACCTATCAATTAGCAAGCCACATAATGACAACATCTAATGGTACAATTGAAGTATTTGAATTTAATATACCATTTTCATAATGGTATAATATGAAACACACGATGGAATCCCATTTCTTCCCCCCCCCCCCAAGTTAGACTTGGTTTATTTCTGACAATGTAATGATTTTGCCCTGGAGACACTAAAAGAGAGAAATCAGTTTGGGTACACATCATAAATATTGAGAACAGCATCTCCCTTGGAGCACTGAGAAGTCTCCCAAATATTTCAAAAAGGTTTACATGGAATTGGGTACCTTTTATAAATGGAAGGACTGAGGGGAACCAGAACAGCTATATCTAGTTTCTACTATACTGAGGAAACTAAACGGTGAATTATTTTGAAGAATGTCTTCCTCAGACTTTTTCTCAGAGGTGTCCCAGAGGTCTAGGCTCTGGATCTTTGCAGTATAATTTGAGAAGGTAATAAAGGAGTTGGAAACATTTGGATTTTCACAGTCCTACTGTTTTCTTTAATTACTTAATGTCCAGAACACATCTGCAACATCCTCTGCCTATAGCAAGTGTATCACACAAGGCAGGCAGATGACTTTGCTGTTTGCCCAGAACCTTTTCTGCCTTGTCTGTTAAAAACCACAAGCCCTCCCACAACCTTTAGACCTCCATGGCCACCATCAAATATAATCACTAACATTTTAAATTTTAATTTTTACTTCAAAGACAGCAAAATACCCTGATGTGAAGACTCACACAGCTCTCCCACCTGTGCCACACACAGTGTCAGTATTTCCTAGGTTGCCACATATGAAGATGTACCAGAAGCACAATTACAGCCATTTTTCATCATCCAGTCATGTCAGTCATGGAGAGTGATAGCAAGTATTATGGCAGGTGAAATTCTGCCCACATTTTGGCTCCTACTAAGTTGTTTTTCCCAATTGATGTAGTGGATATTAAATGCCAGGAGAACCTAAATGGTCAAATATGTCCATGGTAAAGCAAAGGAGTCTTTTTTTTAAGATGAGCAGAACTCTAACCTAAGTGTTGGGTCTGACTTTCCTGAGATGGTTTAAAATAGTTTCAAAAATGCTAAAAATGCTTTTTGTGCAGCAAGTGAAGCTCCATGCTGTTCTTTTTGAGAATACAGAAAAACCTGATCAAAGTACAATCAGATAAAACATCTGATTTATTTTCTCTCCTTACTGTTCTGCAGAAAGACAGAATTAAAAAATCCATATTTGACATGTGAACAAACTGTACCACATCCAAAATATTTCATTTTGGAAAGATACATAAAAAAGGAAAACCAGGAGAACAAGTTAGCATCTTGTAGGGAACCTGGTTGTTTGATAAAATATTTAAAAACATCTCAATTTGCAGTCTGAAATAAAATAAAATGGGGCATACTGAATTCATGTCCAAAATTTATTTCAGAAGGAGAGATAAGGAAATGAGCACCAGAGCTGAGATAAAAGTTTGCTTTTCAGAAAGGCAAACATCATTTTAGAAGATCAAAGTGTCTTTAAGGCCATAAAATGGAAGAAAAACTGCTTATTAACACATTCATTTGCTTCTAGATGCTGTTATACAAATATATTTCTGGGAATCCAGTGCCTAAAAAGTAATTTGTGAATAAGTCAATACTTATTTTTCTCCACTGATACATAGGCAAAGCTCGAGCTGTTTATGAGGGGAGGACAGTTCCATGCATAGTATTCAAAAGGGCTCTGAGTTACAGGAAGACTCATCATTCAGCCTGATTAGTTTACAGGAACTGAAGCAAACGACCTTCTGTGTTTTCTTACATATTTTATGACTATTTTCATATAAGCAAAAATCAGACTTTGTCCTTTTTGAGGAAACGACATTTTAGAGCAAAGCCAGAATTGCAGAATCTTCTTTCATTTAACTCTTCTGACAGCTTTGCTTCACTCAGTCACTTGTGAATATTTCTGAGTTTTATTTGATATATTAACTTTTCCTATGGGATTTGCTGTCACTGAATGTGATATTCAAGGTCAACATTGCAAATGTCATTGTAAATGAAAGCCTTTATTTTGGCTGAATTTAAAACCTCGAGTGTTTTCTGTCCCTAAAGAAACATGGGAAATCTCATTTGCATATTCAGGGTAAAAAAAATTCCTTTTTTTCCCCCAAATTTGCTCTGGGTTTGCAATTTTCCTTTTTTTCCATAGATCTTCAATCTCTTGTTTAAAGTTGCTGATGTATCTAAATTAGCAAGTTCTATTATTATACTCATAAATGGAGTAAATTTGAGCTCACCTCTGGAACCCAAGGCAAAGCTCTGCCACACCACATTTTCATCTGCTTTCCAGAAAGGCAGGGATTATCCTGCAGCACTGAAGGCTCTGCTTTCATGGTGGGAAGGAATTCTGGATTTTACACTGTTTGCTGGCTATGCACAACAGAAGAATAGACAATACCATCTGAGCTTGGGACAATTAACAGGATGTCTTTAGAATATTTTTATTACGTTAATCTTTTCTTTTGCTTGAGCCAGCATTCCCCTTGAGAGGAAGAGAAATGATGCTGAGACAACTTACTATTGCAAATTAATTGTATGGTCCATTTCCCAAGCATTTAATTTGGCCACAGCAACCTGTTCAACTCAAATGAGTTGTCAGAAAGTGACATAAAAGAGAGGCCAAGTTCTTTAGAGGTGGCCAGTAATTTTAAAGGATGAAGGGAAGTGGCTGGCACGATTGCTTTTGTCCAAGTAAAGCCTCCTCTAAACAGGGTAAGAGAAAATCAAGTGATTTGGCCTCACCAAAATTCATGCTACTTGAGACTTTTTGAAATGTTGATTGAAGGTAAACTGTGGACTGGAAAGAAGACTGAGGAAAGACTTCATACGGCAAAAGCACATGAAATATGTAGAAAAAAGTGTAACATTTCTTACTTCTCATAATTTGGAATTATAAATCTGGGATAGGAACTGAGATAGATGCATCTGCTCAAACCCATATGAGAGGCAGCTCTCCCTGCCTGCACAAGTACAGGTATATCTGTTGTGAAGAGGTCAATACATCAGATCTCTGCTGCTTCCAAGCCAACAAGGTCTGAATTTGATCTTTTTCAGCATGGCTTCTTTATTCTTTTATAGTTCTGGCATTCTAGAAAATATTTCCATGTATGTAGCCCTTGTCTGCATCCACTCTTGGTATGTGGACCTCTTGTGATCCAGCAATCCTGGATCCTTAACCCATGGCCTCCAGCTTTCCCAGCCTGCTGCCTCAGCGCTTCTCTCACAGCTGAATAGATTTTAGCTTTTCAAAGTCCAGTTTGATTCATTCTCTCAACACAGGAACTTATCTTCAGGACAGATATTTTTGGAACCACATAGGTAGAATTTTATCGTTAAAGACATTACATTTTTCTGGAAAAACATAAAGGCAATTGCTAATGGATTAGATAGAATTTGACATTTGATCAGACTCTCGAGGACTCTCTCCCTGAGTAAATTCTTTTCCACTAGGAATGTTTACTGTTCAGGAAGCAACACTTAGAATTTTCTCTGCCATGAAAGAATTCTCTTCTGAAGAACCTTATAGAAGGTGGTGTATGACCTTAAAGAAGACCTCCACCAGCCTGGTTAGTAATTACGATGTATCCTTCTTCCATGAAGCAGGCAGGAGTAACCAAATACTTCTGATAGAGAAATATTCTTTGAGATTAGGACTTAGGCATTTTAGTTATAAGGAGTAGAAGAATAATAACCATGAATACAAATTTAGAATGGCTGAATTACTTGTTCCGGTGCATTTTCAAAATAATTAGCTCCCGTTTTGTTTGCACGTCCTAGAGATGACTTCTTTTCCGACCATACTTTTCACGATTTTAGATTTCACAGAAGCATGATTCACACAAGTGCAGGGACTCCTTCTACTAAACTGACCTTGAAGAACAGATCTGTTTCATTCTGTGCTTAATCTCTTCCTTTCCTGACTCCTCTTACCACTTCCAAGAAGCCAGAACCATCAGCTACGTTCCCTCTGCAGGCTCCGTGCTCCTGCCAGCCCGACTGCCCCGCAGATGGTGGCCAGAAGCAAAGCTCTTTGCAGGGTTTGGGCACAAGCTCGTTCTAAATGTTACTCAAAAATCCTAATCTGAGTCTTGGTACCAGATATCCATTCATTTATTAAGAACAAACACAGCAGACAACGAATGCTGCACTTTTTGTGTTATTCAAACCTGCTGCTAACAATGAAGAAGATGATGTCATTCCCTGGATGTGACAAAGGACTAATATTATATGCAGTAAAAACAATGAGTCAACAGTTTCTATGCCCTTGAGGTCAAAGCATTCAGCAGTTTTGAAAGTAGACTGTTCTTTTTTTGTGCACAGAGCTTGTATATTAATACAAAAAGTGAAATCAAGACATTGATTTGAAATGACAATTTAAAAAAAAAAACAATTTTTTTGTAGTTTCAAACTAAAAGTCCAATGGCACTACCTTATAACATAAACTAATTGATATTTTTTTTCCTCAGATATGTTAACTATAACATTGCAAAACTCTTCTCTTTTTTAGGTCAAAACCACATTATCTATGTTATCATCTGTATGATCCTGAGAGGCACTTTGCAGTTCCCAGGAACAGGAGTATGAATTGTGACTATTAATGCGTAAGTAAATAATATGAAATTTTCTGGAGATATTTTGTAATGGTCTGAAAGATAAGAAAGACCTTTAACATGAAAATGTGTTTTGCCAGATAACTGCAAGCAAGCTGTCTAACAATCAAAGTTTCCCAGATTTTCTGGAATACAAGAGGCACTGACCAAATCCTGGCCACCTTTAACCACAGCTGCATCCAGCTCAGGGCAGTGCAAGAAAGGTTGTGCTCATGCAGATCCTTCCTTCAGCAACCCTGAAACCCTTGTGAGCATTATTATCCTCCTCATACAGGCAGTGGATCCAAAGCACAGAGAAGTGACAGCTCAAGGTCATTTAAAAGTCAGGAGAGTTTGGAAAAGAACCCAGATTTCTCAATCCCTGTCCAGCACTCTGCCCACTGGGCTCCATTGCCTCACTGAGCATCTGCCTCATACAGCTCCTTTTCCAAACTAGACAGAATTTAACAACTTTGAGGAGTTCTCAGTTTACCATATTGTTCAAGTGCAAGGGAATCCCAGGCCAGCTGCAGTCTCCATTCCTGTTGTCCTTCACATTTAGAGACAGGAGAGTAAACTGGATTATATCTACATGGGCTTCTATGCAGGAAGAAGTATCATTTTGCCTGCATTGACGCTATCTGTCTGTGTTTTGGATTAAAAGAAGCCTTAGTGTGGAATAAATAATATTCATCATCCTGACAATTAACTGAAATGAAATCTCAGACTCTGAATCCCAAGGAATTTCTTCTGGCACGCTGACAAAGTGCTGGAGAAAGTCTTCTCAGTTTATGCTGACCACTTTAGTGTGTCCCCCAAAACAACTGCAGTGGGTTCAGGCATAGCTTGCACAAAAGATCCCAGGCCCAAGTGATTACTTACCTGAATGTGGAGGAGCACATCTGGCAGCCCAGCTTGGCAGCATCCTGACAACTTTATTGAAGAAGTAAATGCAAGAGGTAAGGCTCAGGCTGATCTGTAAACGCTCGTGTCTCATGATGCTTAAGAAACTCTCACCTTTTAGACATTTAAACCAAATATTTAAGACCTAAAGACATCCCAGGTGTTTTTGAGGTTCTGTCATATATCTCAAGTGAGACCAGGAAGCTCCTGAGTTCCCCAATTGCCACAAGGACTCCAGGACTCCACATGGCTCCTCACAAGTAACAGAATTCAGTGCATTTTTGTGATGGGGACTTGTTAGAGCATTTCAATTGCAACATAGACATTTCTACCAGAAATTACTCTTATAAAGTCAAACAAAATCAGACAGATTTGAGACAAGTCAAAATAAAGAGATTAAAGTAACTTACAGAATTTTCTCTGGATATCTCAAGCTAATTACAAATCCTATGGTGTGCAGAGCCTGGTATTTTCATTTCCACAGACATGATTAAGAGCACAGGGATTTCGATGTCTTGTGAGAGAGTGATGAAATACATTTCCCAAGTGAAAAAGACAGACATTAGTCTCCTTTTCAAGTTGTGAGATATTTTTGCAGGCAACATCTCTTACTGCCTAATGAAAGCCAACACCACAATGTACTGCAGGAAGATTCACACATGCTGCAGCCATGTAGGTGTGCTGTTCAACTCCAGTCACTCACACAAATACAAATATATTTAATTATATTAAAGTTATTACTGGTCTATGTAATATGGTAGACTTATGAACTACAAACAAAAATAGAGGTACATATCCTAGTGTATTCCAAGAAGGGATCTTCACCTGCCCTTTGTTTTTAAAGCCCTAATCCCAGCAACCAACTAGGAAAACTTTCTTAACTTTAAGTACTCTTAGTACGATTGAAGTTGTTTCTTTGTTAAACAGGATATTAGAAGTTTGAACTAAGGACAGAGATTCCTATTCAGGAAAATAGTAAAGATCATAATTAAAATTAAACATGTCTTAATATTATCTTGTAAATCGAAGCTTACCTAAGCAGGTGACACTTCCAAAAGAATATTATAACGAGGCTGCCACAATGTAAAGGCATATTACCAGGCATCAGTAACATTATTATTTAAAATTTTTGTTAATAAGAGGCCTGACAAAACTATACTTTTGTTCAGTGTTAGAGCAGCTAAATGGGTATGGTGAGTGGGCTTTCTTACCGAGTTGAAGAAATTGGGGAAGATTTTAGTTGGGAAAATTTATTTTCTTGCAGAAAACCTGCTCTATCAGTTAGATGGAATTATTACCCACTCACAGCATTCTTCACAGCTAGAATGGTATTAGTCATTCTCCTTAACAGAAACCCAGCACTGTGGTTTCGGTGACACATTGAAAACTTATTTTGATCTTTCTTGTGCTTTCAGATGGCAATGTATTGTCTCCTTCTTGATCTCGGATTAGAGTCCATACTGGAAAAAATAAAATTCAAGTGAATAAAAGTTGATGTGGATTTCTTTGCAAATGCTGCTTATGGGCCTCCCACAACGAATCAGGTTTTTCTCCTAAAAGTCTTGCTAAGTACTAGTTAGGAAATTGTCCACATTATTACAAATACAGTATTAAGTCTGAGAATAAAATATTGCCCTTTAAACAGGAGTGGATGTTATCACTCCCAATGTGCTTATATGCGTTTCCTGTGCTTAGATACAGCCCAGCAATAACAATACCACAATTACCAGAACGTATAATCTATAATGTGGCCCCGTGTAAATCACCACCCAGCTGACGGCGTCGCACACATCCTGCAGGATACCACCGCCACTGTGAATTGTTTCCGGTTAACGCTGTGCATCTGCAGGATGATTGCTGAGCCCTGCTCGGGCTGACTCCCAGCTCAGAACACTGGAAGTTACCTCCTGCTAGTAAGATCTAGGTAAAGACACAGAGCTGAAGCATGTTTGGTTCACGAGCGCCTAAATGGGAAACCGGAGAACCGGAGTTAGAGGAAAAACAGTTCTGATATTTTAATAATATTTAGGGGATTTCCAGAAACAGTGCAAAAATCATTATAAATACTGCAAGGGAAAGTGTTCTGGACCTCAATTCAGTTGTTAAATTTCTAAAATAATGCATACCTGGGGTTTACATAAAGTGGAGACTTAAATGGATGATCTCAGATGCTCTGTCATTCCCTTCAGAATAGAACATAATTTCTTGTCCGTGTAAAATACCTGAAAAATAAACATTTTTGAAAGCGATTTTACAAAGTCAAAGAAAAAATGAAGTCCAAACTAAACCAGAAATATGTAATTTTCATTGCAAGACACTGCAGCCATACACTCAGAACAATCTTACAGGAACACTCTGACAATGTCTCTGTTGTGATTCAGTCAGTCTAAACTAACTGGACAGACTCAGTGTAGTAGTTTTAATTAAATCTAGTTGACCTGTTCAGTGACTTTATATTTTTAGTTAGTTCTCTGATTCTCACTTTTCCAAAGAGATGTTAAAAATAATACAAAGGTTTAAATTACTGGAAAGCACTTTAAGATAAAATTTATAGATCTGATTCTTAAAAAAAAAAAAGAAAAAAAAAGAGGTGACAGTTGTGTAATTTGACAACTTCTAGAACTGGACTCAATAAGAACTGGACTCTAACTCTCATTCTGCTTTATAACTGGGGGACAAACCATCTTTCCTGAGTGTATATAATTTCCACTGAGTCTCTTACAACCCACCAGAATTTTAGTATGTTTTAAAATAATAATATAGCAATATGGAGAAACATATTATGCAAACACTGTTATTCTTCTCATTCTGATACAGGTCTACCATACCAAAGAGAGATTCTAGCTGGAAGAAACAATCAATGCAGTGCTTGTCTGAAAGGTATTGTAAGTTATTGCTTTTTCTTCCTGCTTTTGGTACAAAATAATGTGATGAATAAATGACTTAATTTATCCACTGCAGAAGCTCACAGAGGGTATTTCTTGTGTTAACAAGCATACCTGTATTGCAGAGGTCACTGAGGGGAGCAGGGCAGGTGTGCAAGAAGCAACCATGGCCTTGTGGCCAAGGGTAGCTAAGAACTAACATGCACATTCAGGGAGAAATGACCAAGGCCTTCTGCACTTCAGCTCTTCTGGGACACACAGGTCTGCTATAAAATCACTGCAGTCATTCAGACCCATTCAAAGAAATTTGTCCTGTAAGTTCTATTGCCTTTCACTTTCTCCAGTCTGCTCTCGCAGTAGGGCCCTCTGTAAAGCACTTCATACCCCTTTGGAATTAAGTCAACTGTACATTATCATGAGACAGAGAGCTTGGCTATCTCTTACTTGCTTGGAAAATTAGGGTCTGATGTGCCACAGCCACACCAGGGTAAATGCATGGAAGCTGAAGTTGTAGATGACTTATTCTTCTTGTCAGGATTCAGGCTGACTCCTGGGGATCTGCATATATATAGGATACATCCATGGGGCACAGCATGGATAACCCTGCTAGAACACACACAGCTCTTCATCACTCCATCTGCTTAACCCTGAGCTGTCTCTTCATTTTTGTACCTGATTTGGGAAGGAAAGAGGTCTGTGAGTGCTGCTGCCACTCAGCTTGCAAACCTGTGAGATTATGCTTATGAAATAATTACTAATTCTTTAAAGGTGCAGACACTTCAGTTAGTTGCAAAAAGCAGGTAGAGTTACCACGTTATATTTGTCTTATTTATTGCTAACTTCTTAGCTGTGGCACCACCTTGTGGATGTTACTACACACAGTGAGAACTTGACTACTGGAAATGAAAACAACAAAAACAGGCGTTTTGGAAAAACAACTACAGTCACACATGATTTGCTAAAGCAGAGCAGAATAACTAAATAAAAGAAATTATTCCTAAAGATCCACTTATGAAATAAAATGTATAATAAATACTGTCATCAGGGTACTCAGTTGTCTTTGCAGCTTTTACCAACTCTTCTGCACATCAGCCAAGAAGTGTGGCAGCCTTCAAAACTAATTTTGTTCCTTCTCAACTGACTAACCAGCAGCACCTGAACCCCAGTTCTGCTGTTGCTGTATAAGCAGGCATGACTTTTGCATCTATCCCAAGCAACAAGATCTGCAAAGTCAGAACCGTAACACTGAACATATGGAGAAAAACTTGGGTCCTGCTCCATAAATGTAAACTCAACAGCGGGATTGGTGTCCAAGCTAAGCCAAAAGAAAAATAATCTCTGACAAAGATAAACTGGTGGATCTTTCAAATGCTCACTGGAACACAAACCAAACAAAAATAAATTTAAATTCCAGTCTGTTGGTCACTAGATTCCCAGAACCTTTCACAGTTGAGGTAACAGGGTGTTCCTGTTATGAATACTCTATCTGCTGTACATCTCAAAAAGATGAAACAGCTTATGCTACTAAATTTTTTTCTCTTGGGATATTCATACAGTAAATATTACAGTTATTTTACTGCTGCACTCAGTAATACCCTATTATAAGTGCACCGTTAGGAAAAAATACAGGGCTTTCAAACTCTTAGTGACTATTATTACAGATTGGCTGTTGTTTTCAATTTAATTTAATTATTTATTTCTGAAAAAACAAGGCATTGGCTACTCCTTATTCACACTGAGTGCAGAGATTCTCTTTCTCCTTAGGCACCATGTAATTCTATTCCCCATTGCAATCAGATGCATAGTGCAGACTTATTAATGGCCTTGGATGTATTGGATGGAAGTTTTCATCCAGAAAATTGCAAGAGCAGTTACTGTAAACATGGGGTGAGTGACACAGAAGAGACCGAACCAAGTTTATTCTTATATTGAACTCAGTTTATCAAAGGATCTTATTTCTTATTTTTTTGAGCACATGAAAATGTTATTTTTGTGCCCACAACATTCAGCTGATTTGCTTTTAGGAAAGAAGCTAATAAGCTGTGAGGCCTTATATCTCCATAATAGTATTTTCTCCAGAGACTTAGAACTCCCTTGAATATTTTAATTATCTCTTTCCTAAAAGTCAATGAAATAGCATGGCACTATATTAAAATAATTTTCTTTGGCTTTCTGCAAGAACTGATTTCTTGTTGAATTAGAATATCAAATGGGAAACCAATTTCCACAGCATCAGTGACCTTATGTCACTTTATGTATTACAGAAGCGAGAGAAGCGGTTTCAGAGGGCTGCAACAGTTTAAAATTATTCCCTATAAACCCACTTATTGAACTGACACATGCAGGAGGCAAACCCCTGAAATTATGTTGCTAATCTACATGGCTTAGAGGCAGATTTCTTCTGCATTTTCAAATGTTGCACCCACTGACACAGAACCGTGGTGGGTATTAATAGAAACTGGGATGGAACGGGTGGAAATTTGGTTGGGCTGGAGAAAATCCTGTGAGGGAGGGAACGAGTGAGGAAGCAGCAGGGTAAGACCACGGGGTACACAGCCCTTGTGGGGGGGAACAAAGGGGGCTCCCTCCTACCACAGGGAGAAGTGGAGAAAGGGACCAAACCTTACATGGGACAGGTTCAGGGGGTCCTTTAACAAGAGGAGAATTTTGAGGTGACATCTAGAAGGTCTGTGAAAAAGGATGGATAAACCCGGCCTCCTCGAGCCCAAGTGCAGAACCAATCTGGTCTACAGAAAAACAAAGTGCACAGGTCTCGAGCTACCAAAAGACAAGGTAATATTATTATGTTATTTAATACTTTTTTTTTTTTCAGGGAATGAAAGTTGCATAAGCTTCTATGCTTATTAGACATTAGATTTAATTTCCTGCATTACTGAGAAATGGCTGACTTGGAGCTAAGCCAGGCTTTGATAGATAAAATAGGTTATACATTTATAAAAGGAAAACTGTACAAGTAGGAACTGCTGCTAGAGGTGTCAATTTAAAGTAATACTGTCTCCACCAAACCCCCAGTCCCACGCAGAGACCATGGAGGAGCCTGAATCAGAGCAGATATGCTGTAAAAGCATTAAGTCAGGGAAAAGTGGTGGCAGAAGACAGCAACTTATGACTAAGTGTATTTGACCTTCATATGTTATTTTTGTCTGAAGTCTTAATTTTGTGGTTTCGGGATGGGCTCCTCCACAGCAAAATTTGACATCTTCTAATAATTATCAGAGGTCCTATTTATACATTTTATGTCCTGGTCTGTCAGACTCAGTGTGACTCCATGTATCGATAAAGAAACAGGTTATTTACTTACTGTTTGACTTGCTGAAGTGCAAAACTAAAATCAAATCAAATGCTTTATAATCTATTTACCACCTAGTTCCTTGTGCAACGTTCCTCATTTTCTGGTTTTCCATTGTGCTTTCATTTTTTTTCTTAGAGGCAATATGAAAGACAAAAGGTTTTCAAAAGAAGGGGGATCTGGGAATTCTCAATACTGCAAGTTAGTTTGTTGGCATTTTCATGATGAAAAACCACAGGTGAATCTTCTTACATTATCTTTGCCTTTCCACATAAATCTTGTTTTTCTAAAACTATGAAAGTCCTTTTTGAATTTAATCTTTGTTCTTATTCTAAAGGTGCAGTAAGAATAGTTACGAGAGCCATATAATTTGCAATGGAATTACATATTTTGATTTTACCTTGCTCAAATTATGATATTCTCAACTCCTTGAGACACAGTATGTGCTTATTACTGAATATGTCAAAATACATTTTAATTTATTAATATCAGTACTAGTAAGGAAAGAAACTGTGGAACAAATGAACAAATAAAATCTGCACCATAAAGCTGCAAATACTAATTTCTAGAGGAAGGTATGTGATAAGATTTTACAGAGCAAGATTAAACTAAAATATGTGTGCTCAGATAGAGAGAGGTTGTTACCATCTGCAGTCCAGCTGAAGTGAGAGAACATTATGGGTATTCAGTGTCATTAAGACCCAAGTCATGCCTATATTTGTATTTTTAAGTGAAATATCACTCTGATGAGACATTCAAAATACTTAGCAGCTCTCATTATGCGTTTTCTGGGCCTCAGCCATCTGGATAGATTTCTAGGGTCACAGCCTTTGCTCTCTTTAGGATTCCTACACAGTTGAGTTCCAGCTAAAACGCTGACAAAACATAAGCAAACTGTTTCAAATATTCACAGTCTGGAAGCACCTCTGGAGATCATCCAGTCCAAACCAGTCCAGCACAAAGCAGAATCACCCAGAGCAGGCTGCTCAGGAGCTCACCCAGTTGGGTTTTGAGCATCTTCAAGCACATCAACTTCAAAACCCCTTGGGGCAGCCACATGACAGATGCTCCTCTTAATCATCTTCATGGCCCTTTCCTGCCCTCACTTCAGTATGTCCACGTTGAGGGGAGCCCAGATTTGGGCACAGCATTTCCACTGACAAATCCCCAGGGCTGAGTAAAGGAGAATAATCACCTCCTTTGATCTCCTGGCAATACCTTTCCTAAAGCAGGCCCAAATACTGTGGGCCCTCTTTTCCAAGACATTTATGTTTACAGATATAACAGAATTTTAAGGATATGACAAGTTTTATATTTCTAGGGTCTGCTATCTATCAGGGCAATACAAACTATATTATTCTGCTAAATCATGTTTTATGTCAGTATCAGGGATTGTATTTATGTTCTCATTACACGCTTTTCCTAAATAACTGGCCCATTAAAACCAGTTGTTTGAGATGACTACACAGTGCCTTGTAAAAACATCTGTGCACAGATTGCTAAAGGTAACACTGAAAACTAAGTGCAGATCAGGGCATCTTCGCAGGAATGAAGGCATTGTGGAAAACTGCAATTCCAAAGAACAGGAATTCTCAATTTCATCATGGTGTTAGTGTTAGGATCTAAAGATAGCAGATTAATTACTATTATGTTTAACTCATAGATAACCTTTCGTAGCAGTAACATCCAGCTCATAAACTTCCACAGTTTCCAAAGGCACTCTACACTATATCAGAAGCCAAAAATCCAGTTGTCCCTAATGTATTCCTGAGAACCTTCCACTTCCTCTGCAGCTGCCACAGTGTAACTGTGGACAATCCACTTATGTATTGACAATACACAAATTTTCTGTGGAGAGCAGTCCATAGATTTTCCAGTGGGTCCTCAGGCAGCCTAAAGCAATGAGACTTCTATTAGATTTGTTGTTTGTCTTGGCAAGGAAGAGAGCAACCTTGTTCTTGAAAAATCTACATTTAGTTCCCCATCTATAAACAATTTTCATCAGTTCTTCCATCTGCAGTATAAGTCTTTGTTTGGCAAACACTTTGCAGTGTTTCTTGTTATACATGTCAAATTGTTTCTGTTTTGCATGAGCTATGATGACTTAAAAGACGCAAGTTTCACGTGGTGAAAGGAGTTTGTTCCCTCTAAATCCAGTAGTACCTTTATTGCCCTGGTTGGCCCATTATTTCTTTGCACTTCTCATAGTCTGTGACTGCAGAAAACAGGAACAATTAGGTGAAGCCAAACTCCTTGCCATTACTGACATACCAGTACACGAGCCAATACACAGTCTAGCTAACGTCCTTTTACCTTCTGGAACAGTTTAAAGCAGGATGCAAAATATTCTTCCAAAAATATACAAACTCATTTCCATCCATTTTCCTATAAAGCTATGCCAAAAGCCCTAGGAAAGCCTTTTGACTCCAGCCTACATGCTCAAAAGAAAACTTGGGAGACTGGCAAAAACCCACAATGTAATTAGGACAATGCTGGGACTCAGATTAACATTATGAAAAGCAAACACCTTTCATACCACTCCCAGCTCTCACATATCCGTGCTGAAACATTAAACGTTAAAATTCAGATGCAAGGAAGCAGAGTAGTTCTTTCCAAAACAACACTAGATTGGCCCAGGTGGCCACAACCTGCATGATTTTTCATAGACTGACTTTCAAACTGCCTCATAGCTGCCTCTTGGTCTCAGAGATGTTGAATATCTTTCGCAGCTTTTTCCAATGCAGACCAGATGTTCTATTGTGATAATTCTCTCATGGGCCTTTTCCATTTTGACTCTCCATCAGCTAGGGATCCAAAGAGACATTACTTGAAAAACAGGAACCATAAAAGAGCCAGGAACTTATAAATTAAAACATAAACATTAATTTGTTTTCCAAAATACAGATGTCTTTTGTCAGTTCAAGCCTTGATCTCTCCACCAGTTAAAGGCAGCAGTTGTTCTGTGGAGGCATGCACTGGAAATTAGCCAACGGGCATTAACTTTTGGTTCTGATTGAACTGAGGAAAATGTGAAACAGAAACACAGAATTAAAAGTTGTGATAGTAATTATTGTCTGATAACATTTTAAAATGCTCATGATGTTAATACCAGAAAAAGGGTCTTACCATAAAGAATGTAAATCACCGAAGCTTTTGGACAAGGCTCGGAAGAGCCAGGGGTTGTCTTTGATGGTGGTAGGGACCTTTCCTTCTCCTTACCTCACTGATCTGTTAAGGCTCAGGGCCCAGGATCCATCCCTGGGGAAGTGGATCCTATGCTGGTGACCAGTGCAATGGGATTACAGCAATGTGGCACCACCACAGCTCTGAGAGGAAGGGACTGGGCTGGAAGAGGAAGGGACACAAGGCAGACACAGCTTTAAAAGAACACTTTCATACATTACAAACACAAGCGCTCAAGGTTCAACTGCATATATTTTGTAATAACATAACACATCAAGCCTTGTTTTCAAAAGGCCACTGAAAATTCATCTTTTTTAATGCTAAATCACTTGATATATCAGTATTATTACAACATCTTTTAACATTTTTATATCAATAAAAATTTAACATGAGAATATTTAAAATAGCAGAAAGGTTAGAGGCAACCAAAGAAAACACCTATAAAAATGTGCATAATAAGGAGATAAGGATGAAAAGTTACTTTCTTTTTTTAACATGACCTACTTGTGCACTAATTTTTTATCTTTAAAAAGTAGCAATTCACGAGTCACACCTCTTCATTCCCTTTCAAATCAGTTTTATACACCTACACAATTCTTCTGACAGTGGATTACTGCAGGTGTACACTTCAATTTGGAGTTTCCAGTCCTGCTATGTTTTCTTGACAAAACCTATCAGTACAAGAGATTCATATCACTCTGCAACTTTTAGCAATTAACCCCTCTCTTTATGATACACTGCAACTGAACATTTCATCCTACAGATCAGCTGTACAACACATTACTCTTCACGATGTAATCAGTTTCCTCTTCATGTAGGCACATACAAACAACTATAATTTCTAATACAATCCACTATAAAAAGTATCACTGAATGTTTGCCCTTGTCTTACACTCCTCCAGAGACTTCTGCTTTTTCTAGAGCCTTCTGCTCAGAATAAGGCAATCATTTGTCCTTTATACCAAGGCTTGTCCTGTCTCTGTACTACAATGAACTCACCTGGTGGAGCAGGGATTCTGAGCAATGGTTATTCCCTCACTGGAATAAACCCTTGCTTTCCAACACCATTTTATTACAAGCTTTACATATTCATTTTCTTTTCCCAGGCTACAGCTTCTCCTCTAGATTTCACACCATACTAATATCTGTCTGTGCTCCTCTTGTTGAATTGTTTGTGTTTCATTATTTAAGTGCAGGGAATTTTAAGTAGCTGTTCCCACTTCAAATGCTTTTCCCTTGAGGGATGAACTACCCTCTGCTGTTCCCTGTCTCTTAAGGAAGAAACAACTTCCATGGAAAGGAGATGCAAAAATCCTTTCATGGCTTCACTTCACACTAAGAAAGATTTCAATTTTGAATGCACATGCTGGTCCCAGCAGAATGTGCTCTGAGGTAAAAATTTGATTCCTGTATATGGCAGAAGTTCTAATATTCTCTTCCTTAAGGAGCAGACTGAGGTAAAAGTTGGGAATATACGTTTTTCTCAAAGGTTTTGCCCTGGCTCACACAATGCCTCAAAGATGCCCTTCACCAAAGATGTAGAATTCTATCCCAAAAGAGGCTTTGGATTGCTACGAGAAACAAATGGAGTCAGTCAGGAACGCCTCAGCATCAACAGACATTTCTGTAAATTTTTAATAATATGTTGGTTATATGCATTCATAGCTTCATCTGTTAATTTATTAGGAACAGTGACTTTTTTTGATCCATATATGTTAAAATGAGTTGTGTTTATGAAATTCCCAGATTCCTTAAGGATGAAAATTTAAGTATTTCAATTCAATACGAAGTAAATAGTTATTCTAAACTTAAAGTGTAAAGTGGCTGATGTGCATTCACTTCTACAGATAATTTTAAGTAGTAAAATTCAGACTATTATTGGTAAGAATTAGGAGATTATTTCCTGGCTCTGTGAGTGAAACCAGAGCACAAACTTTTGCTTCTTTTTTGATCCCCATGCTTAGTCAGACATCCACCTGTAGGAATAGCAACCTCTGTTCTCCTCCCAGCAAAGGGCTGGTACAGCACCCAATTCACGTGCCTTAATCCTTTTCACTCTTGTCATCCCCTCCAAGCAAGCCACTCCAAGCAACATGCCCTGGGTTGGTTGCCTTCACAGCAGAAGTGGTTTTACATTTTCAGCTGGAGGTGTTTCAGCAGGGAGGCACTTCTCCCAACCCTTCCCTAGATGTCGCCACAATTTCTGGCTACTTCCTTGTAGCCCTAATTACTAAATGGAAAACTAGCATATAGGGTCCTGTTTTCTTCACATAAAAGAAGGAGAAAACTGTATGTACAGAGTGACAAAAAGATATTTAATGTCACACTGAAACTTGAAAAAAGCTTTTTAAACGGGCTTGTTTTCACACTCCTTTTAGCTCCCTAACACTCTCACTACCAAGTACGTTGGCTCATTGAGTCTGGAGCTACTTGACTTTTTCCATTACTTTGTGCTGGAACAAACTATCTCCTCAAGGATATTCCCAAGGCTTCCAGATTCAGCTTTCATCCATACTTTGCTATTTTTTCTCTCTTAACAATTTTTTTCAAAGAATGCCTTTCTGCCCTCATATGATTTTGCTACCCAAAGACTCATTTATGCTACACAAATACTATAGGACACAATTCTGTGAGTTCAAGGCAGTATTCAGGCTTGTTACTGTTTTAGTTGATCATACTTAAAACTGAGTTCTGGGGACAACATCCTTGTTTCCACCCATATTTATCACCTCTCTGTAATTCACTGTTTTGTTCCTGTGGAAATAGCCTTCAAAAAGCATATGCTGATTTCTACTCGTGAGTGAAGTTTCCATATTGTCCAGAAACATGAAGACTCTCCGTTTTATTGCAAAGATCACCAAAATACCTTCAGATTTTTTCAAGTATTTCAAATCTGTTGTGCTGAAGTAGTCATTGATTGGTTGTCCACAAGATGGGGCTTCTACAACAGAGATCTTTGTATCCAAATTTAAGATTCTGACGTAAAAGCTATGAATGGCATCACAGTTGACAAGAACATATTTTCAAATTTTGGCACAAGAATGGTCCTCACGAAAGGGACTGCACTCCTCATTTCTTGTGTCAAAAACAATAATCCCTCAGGAAATCAAACTAGCAGCAAGTGATTTTATCCTGTTCTTAACCCTTGCACTGTGCTGGTGTACAGCTCATGGTCAGAGGCAATATGCACGTTACAATCAGCCCGTGTCTGGCAGAGGTGCTGTGTGGTCACCTACATCCACATGAGGTTTTGTGGAACTGTGCACAGACCAAAACACCAGTGAAGTGTATGTGGCTTTGAGATGTTTTCTAATTCAATATATAGGCTAACAGTTGAACAGTTGAACTTCTAAAACAGTGTGCAAGTCCTCTGTTAAGATGAAAACACCCCCAAATAAAAGTTAGAGAAAGTCGCTCCACAGAGTGTGTAATTTCTATAAACTTTCTATAAACTGAAAGAGGGAACAGTTTGCTGTTAACCAACTGTAGGCATGCACTTCAAAATAAATTAAAAGAAAATATTCTTAGACACAAAAATTTTGAAACATTAAAAAAAATAGCAATAGACTTACAGTACCTTCAGCTGTCTTGTTTCACTATGTGGGAAGTGTTTGTTTAAACAGTATGTGATTTGTTCTTCTAAAAAAAAAAAAAAAAGCCCTCTTTCCTCTTTTGTCATAGAAGTAAACAATCAAGATTTTAATGTCTTATAGGAATCTCCCAGCCAAAACCAGGACAGACTAAGAGATTGTACCTTCTTGTATTCCTTCTCATAATTCTAGAGACACCAGTCAGATTTAATTTATGATCATTCCTATCTTCTGCATGATGCAGTTGTTTTGTAGAATTTTTTGCAGGAAACACAGTATTCCATCAAACCACAGAAATGTTTGGGCATGCAAAAGCAAACACTGGTACAAATTTCCAGCCAGTCCCTCCCAGAGGAGGCTGTACACACACAGACTAATCAAAAAGTAAAACTGAATGTTAAGAAGGAGAAACATTTCTGGCCAAAAGGTAAAGCTGATTTCCCAGAGACAGTCATTCACAATCACCTAACACTTTCAGTACAAAATCTTCAATGGTTCCCTCTCACATTCCTTCTGTTCAGTCTCCAGTAACTTGTCTGCTGCAATTCAGCTGGCTAAGCTGTCACAGACCAGACTTCCAACAGGAAGTGCAAAACAGTACCCTTCAGAATAATCATCTGGAGAAGCATAAAATAAGAAAATCTGAGTAGGCAGGAATTACACAGAGAAGGATAGGGAGTGACAGGCTCTACAAACTGCAGTCAGTGATGCATTATGAAAAAGAAAGGACACTAAGTTTGATAAACGGACTTTTTGCACACACTAAATAATACTTTCTTTACTCAACACTGAGGTTTTAACTGGAGTACTCTGTCCAGTTTACTGGAAAAGTGGACCAAAGAAAGACTCTGCAGGAGAGTGAAACATATGGGAGATTTCCAAATCATGATCCATAAGGAAAGATTGAAACAAAGCACCAAATCAGTCTTCAGGGATCTAAAATCTCTGTAACAATACCAACAGGACACATAATGAAGAGTTTGACTTGTAGCAAGCTTACATATGAGGAGAAAATGTGAAACTGGAAGGGATTAGAATACAGTACCTGTAGCCATCATTCAGTATCCAGTTTCAACAGTTCTCTGTCAAGGAATGATGAAGATGTAGATGATCTTGGACTAAGCAGAGTTGTCTGCCAGAGGGTCACACTCCATAGGTTCTCATGAATCCTTCCATGCATCATTTGATCACTCTGTTATTGCAGAAGATCTATAGCTACCTACACGTAGAAAACAAAGATTTTAGGCTACAGGAAAAATGGTGAAAATCAGAGGAACAGGAAGACTTAGGAGAAGGTGAATAAGAGGTGTTTTAAGTTGTGCAGCAGAATGTATATTCAGCCTGGACAAAGGATAAATTCACCAATTCTGTTTCGAAGAGATACAAGAATTTTGGGTACTACCTCGCTATTGCAGCAACCTGAATGCCCTGTGAAGAATAAAACCACTCCAAAATAAATGTCCAATTTGGATGAAAAAATATCATGTTCAACTTCATACCCCTCAGCAGTTGAGGTAATTCTGGCTTCCAGACCTGCTACTTCAAATATCTACCTTTCCC